TCCACATGTCAGATGAAAGGAAAGAGAGACTGGTGGGGCTGAAGGTGGACCAGGCGCTGGGAGAGAGGGAAAGTGATTAAAGGAGCAAGGAAAGGCCATGCTGAGTCAAACTCTGGGAACTTTAAGCATGTAAATCAACCCTCCTGAGCTATTTGAGTGTCTACCTTTGGTCGCTGTTCCAAAATTTTGTTTCATTATCCCTTTGATTCTGCTTGGGTATATTGTGCTTTGCTCCGGGAATTATGCCCCCCCCCCAAAATAACAGTAACTTACATCTTTACTGTCACAATGTTCACATACAATACTGTATTATGTGATGCTCTTTACTGCCTCCTGCAGGCAGCAGGTCTTCACAATCCCTACCCACCCACCCCACCCCCCAATTCCACCCTTTACAATCCAAGACTGAAGTGCTGTGTGGGGCAGAGATACCCTGTCATTATGAACTCTGTTTTATGAGGTACTCCTACCTCATTGAAGTCTTTTACACTTTTCTTTACAAGCTACTCCTCCGAGCTAGTCTCAGAAGTTATGGCCCTTTACAGATAGTAAGAAGAGGTCTCCACTGAGTTGGTTATTTTCTGAAAGTGGACAAACAGAAGTGGAGTCTTTCTCCTAACTAGGATCTCTTTGGCTGTTTGGTCACGAGTACTGTAACTTCCCAACAGGAATTAGTAAAATACGTTATTTTCTCAGTGATCTTGGAATTTTATTAGATCTCTGATATATATTAGATACTGCACAAATTACAAATCTGATGTATATTAAGATGGAGAAGTGACACATGTCAAATGTATAATGACCCATATTTATTATATATAATGTGTTGAACATTTTAGTTTGGGTGCTTAAATGTATTAAGATACTCACATTAGGCTCTTCACTTCATCATCCTCATTTTGCTCCTATCCCCACCCAACCAAGTGACAGTAAAATCATAATGAATTTCAGAGATGCCATACTGTCTGCTTGCAGACCTGCTGCTGTTGGTGCACTAACTCCTCGTCAGGGCCTGCCTCTGTGGTTTTACCATGGCAATGGATAGAATAATACATTGTAAAAATCAACTTGATTTGTAACGACAAAATATGTATTTGGCTATGTGATAAGGTCGCTGTTCTAAAATTTTGTTTCATTATCCCCTTGATTCTGCTTGCGTACATTGTGCTTTGCTCCGGGAATTATGCCCCCAAATAATAACAGTAACTTACATCTTTACTGTCACAAT